CGACGGCGGCGGGAGTGGTGCAGGTCGTGGCGGCGACGGCGATAGCCGCGCAACCAACCGAGCCGTTGCCGTTCGTGTTGTACGAACCGGTCCAGCCCACCGACATCTGCCACGGACCGGTCTCGTACATGAGGCCAGCAGTGTAGAAGCGGGTGTCGTTGTTCACGCCGGTGTAGTAGTTCGAGCCGAGGCCGTTGTTGTCCCAGCCAATCGCGCCACCAAGGGTGAAGCCCTTGAAGCCGAACTGGGCGCCGACGACCCACTGCTTCCACGACGTCAGGTTCGCACCCGTCGCCATGTTGGCAGCCGGAGCGAACGGCTGGTTGCCCGGAACGAAGTTGGCGTACATGAACGCGCCGTACAGCGCGACCGTGACGTCACCGAACTTGTTCAGGTAGTTGGCGCCGACGTCGAACATGTCCTGGTAGGTGTAGTCGTTCGTCGGGCAGTTCGCGGCCGAGGTCGGGTTGTTGTAGCCGCAAGCGCCGGCAACGTTACCCGGACCGGTCTGCAGGTTCTGACCGCCGGTGCTGGCAACCAGGACCTTCGGACGATAGCCGACACCGATCTGCAGGCCCTGGAAGCGGGGCGTGAAGTAGTTGATGCCCTGGCCGTCCTGCTGCTGACCCGCGTTGGTCGTCGTCGTGGCGTGGAACCACGCCTTGTTGTTCGAGATGACCGACTGGTTGGCCCAGGCGAAGTTCGTGTTGTGCTGAATGGCGCCGAAGCCGATCAGGGCCGACGGCGTGCCGTAGTACATACGGTACGTAGCCGGATCGCGACCACCGAACTCAACACGACCCCAGTCGCCGAAGGCGAAGAGGAAGGCTTCGTCGATCGTCTGGTTCTGACCCGCCGGGTTCCAGCCCTCGAGTTCGACGTGCACGCCGACCGAGGTGCCGTTGTCCAGCTTGGTCTGGCCGATGAAGTGGATTTCACCTTCCTGCTGGAACTGCAGGCCACGATACTGGGCCCAGGTGCCGTTGGTGGCATAGGTCGACTGGATGCCGCCGGCGATCGCGTAGAAGGTGTAATAACCACCCACGCCGATCTTGATCGGGTCGGCGGCCATGGCCGGGGCGGCCATAAGCCCGCCGACGACCAAGGCGGTCGAGCCGAGTAGAAGCTTCTTCATCATTCTCCCTCTCTCATTGATCAGAGACTGGTACGTACCAAAAAGGCCTGTCCGACCGGCGGGGACGCTGGAAGCCTGAAGCGAGACCCACAGAACACGCCAATGCGGCAAGGCTATAAAACACTTCACGAATTGGAGGGTCAAGAAATGGTCGCCCGGCTGCTCCATTCTGCCCGCACCTGTGGCGTCTTTGTCACATTTGTCGATGGCGCGAGCGCTCTTGAGATCGAGCGTCTACAATACGTTGCAAAATGCAACTGACTCCCTCTGGGTTGTGGATTTAATAATAGGACTTGTTATTTTGCCTTATTCCGCCGCTTGCAGTTTACTACCTGTTGGGCCTATGGTCCGGCCGCTGCCGCCGCTCCGCGTCTGCGGCCTTGGAACATAAGGCGCCTTCATATGTCGGGTTCGTCCAGAATTTTCCGCGTAGCCTCCACAGTGGCCATCGTGCTCGCCGGCGCCGCCTTGGTTGGCGGCTTGACCGCCTGCACCGATGATTCGACCAATTACGAGCGGGCCACCGGCCCCTCGGGCAACCGCTCCAAGTCCGATGTCCGGACCGGTCTGGGCGGTCGAACCCAGGAGCAAGGTACGCTTTTCGGTCCAGGCGGCCTTTTCGGC